ATACTTTTGATCTGTGACTTTTTGATTATTTTAGTGGATGTTAATGAACACATTTGATTTCAGATTTCTCTTGATTATTCTGGAATCTTGCCTTTTGAATTTTACATATTTTTGTAGATTTCCATGAAAATTGGTAGCAGCCACAAATAAATAAGTAAGATATAAAATAGAAGCTTTTGATTGATCTCTGAACAAAGCCTTAATCTTTTGGATCATATTCATAAACATATCTTACATGCATATAGCTAATAATATTAAATGTTATTGTTGTCTTCTTTGGTTTCAAATAGACCTATTGAAGACATATTGGAAATTCTCATGAAGATTTTGAAATTTTTATTTCATGAGGTTGAGTTAATAAAGGTAAACTTGAATTATCCTAATGGCTGTTCAATTTTTGCCTGGTAGCTTTCAAAATGACTTGCCGCTTTCCAAAGGAGGGAGGAAGCTAACAGATGGTAAACCTGTGAGTTAAAACCTCTGCTTTGGCTCCAGCGTTACCATGCGGGCTTTTGTATCAGCCCTTATAGCCTTATCCCCAAGGTTTAACTCTTCTGGGAATTCTATTATGGTTTTACTAATTGGAAGTTGACCATCTTAGTGTCAAATCATGGTGTCAGCCATTTTTGTTTTTGTTTTTAAGGAAATACTGTGATACCTTAGAGATCACCAGTACTAGTGTATTCATTGGTTAATGCATTCCGAAGAAAGTAATAGAGCCAAGGTGAGAAAACAAGTTCTGGGAAAGGACTATACTAAAGTAACATAATTAGTCATCTTTCAGAGTTACAACAGAGATTATTTTCTTAAAGGCTATTATTCGATATGTCTGTTGAATATGTACTTTCTTTTTGCCACTAAAAAAACTGATAAAAGGATTTCAAATTCCAAATTTCCCATGTGGAGGGGAGAATTATTAGAATAAGAAAAATGTTTAATTTATACATTTATTTTCTTTCATAGATATTCTAGGCCAAGGTTCTAGCTAGAAAGTAAACCTTTGAAATGACATAAAATAGTTCTATGCTAGATCTAAAGGAAATTACCAGTTCTACAAAAAATATGTTGTATACAATTTCCACATTTGCTGTCATGGAAAATTGAATCCATCTTGGACCTTGGCCATTTGTTACTGAAAGTACAAGAAACTAGTAGTGTAGATATATTTCATGGAGTCCTAGAATTAATTGAGAGGGCTACAGAGATGATCTAACCTAATTTTTTCAGGTTTTAGATGAGGAAACTGAATCCCAGAGAGGCTGTGACCTGTTTAAGGTAAAAAATTTACAGAACTGGGATTTCATTATAGACTTCTTTAATCTATGCTGTGAATCTTGAAGTCAGTATCAATGTAAAACTAAGCTTCTGGATATCTGCTATACCACTGAGTCACTTTATTTAATATTTATGTTCGAGTTAAGTTTAGGTTTCTCTCCCTTGTTGATGTATAGTCTTTTTTATTTTGCTTTAGTTTTTGTTTGTTTACTTTGCAGATATGCTGGCGAATTTTTGCACTTAAACCCTTTTAGAATAATAAGAAAGAAAGTGTCAATACCCATGCATCTTTGTATCTATTACCTACTCTCTAGAAGCAAGGAAGATGGCATCTAAGTCTATATGTGCAAGTGTGAAGGAAATGTAATTAAACTGTACTTAGGGAATGACGAGTTCTGAGCTACTCGTCACTCTGGGAACTCTGGCTTATTGATAGACTATTTCCTAAAGCTAAGTATCCAATGTACCCTTTAGCCAAAAATGTCATTAAGATAGTGGACATCATCTGGAAGGATAATGGAAACAAAACAGAAAGCATTTTTCAACCTTTATACAAAATTATAATGCATTGGGATTATATTGGCATTATGAGATGTTGGCACCTGAACATGTACTTCAATTCTGATTACCACGTTTTGAGAAAAATGAACTAGAACTGGAGAAATTAATCTAGACAATAAAATAATCACAGGTGGGTAGGAAAGGGTATTGTTGTCAAGAAATGAGATAGTATTCTTGGAAAATTGAAGCCTAATATGTGTTTTAAATATAAAGCGATCATTAAATGGGTAGATACTTTTTCAAAAATGGGTCTATTTACCAAATTCAGGAAATGCTAAAATGACCAGGCATTTTTTGAAGTTTGCCACATGACTTTAGAAGAGATAAAAGCACTGTCTCCCCCGAGAAGATGGCCAATTTTGAGAACTCAATATCCCAACTATCAGATGAAAATGAAGAATTTTAAAAGGTTTAGATAAACTCATGAATGTTTTGTTCATATGAATTGAGAGAAATAATACATTACTGAGGAGAACTTAACTTTTTGCAGTTCAAGGAAAACTTGTCATATCATGTGGTGACAGAATACTTGACTGAATGGACCAAGATCCTGACTCAGAGTGAAAATTCTTATAAGTAGAAACAATCTTTTTTATATCCCTCTTTTCTTTTCCAATATAAGAGAAAAGGAAACTTCAGTTGTATAAAGGTAGTGGGAAAAATTATACCAGTTTAGTGTTCATGTTGAAAACTATATCAATGCCAACAAGTAAAGGGAATTAAAGCCAGCAAAAGGTGAAGCTCAGAAACTTAGCAGTAATTTTGTACAAAGTCTAGATTAAACAACCATAAAAGTATGAAGATATAAATGCAATGAAGCTGGTAATATTTTAATGATTTTTATAATTGTGTATATTTAATTTTATAATATTTAGAGTCTCTGAAAATTTTGATATATTTAGAATTATTTTTGACTTAAGGAGAAACATGCATTCCATTTTAAGGTTGTATCTCATTTTCTCAATGTGTTTGTACATCATAGACTTTTTAAAAAGCTGTTGTTTTTATGAATTTATTTTTTTTCTTGCTATGGAGCAGATGATTGAGATATAGGCAGATACAAAGTACCTGAGAATTTACTCTAGATGGTAGATAGTATTTGATTTAAATTCTTTCTGTGAAATCTAAATATCTGTTATTAAAAAGTAGCCTTTAACCAAAATATAAAAGCACAGAGGGTACCCTGTATTATAAGTATATGAAATAGTACTCTTATTTCAAAAGTGAAATTTCTATAGTGAACTTTATTTTTAAATGATTGATTCAGTGTATTGATATACTATCATCCCTGGAAATAATTGAGAGATTCTTATAAGGTTTTCCACAAATGAATAACTCTGAATTTTTTTAGATAAAAACCATATTTTTAAGTCTATAAGCAATAAGTTTAATACAGCAATGTGATACCTAGTTGTCTATCATTAGACTGAAGAACCAGAAATCTTAAAGAGTTTTTTTTAACATCTAATTTTATGAGAAAAGGAAAGTAGTCCTGTATTAAAGATTTATCTAAAAAAAGCAATCTTCAGATATGTAATAAGATAGTTCATATTCGAGTCATACATTTAAGCATACGTTAAAGTGAAAGAAGCAGTTTTAAGTGAATGGAGAAGGATAATTGGACTCTATAGATAAAATAATTCACACATACTTTTGATCTGTGACTTTTTGATTATTTTAGTGGATGTTAATGAACACATTTGATTTCAGATTTCTCTTGATTATTCTGGAATCTTGCCTTTTGAATTTTACATATTTTTGTAGATTTCCATGAAAATTGGTAGCAGCCACAAATAAATAAGTAAGATATAAAATAGAAGCTTTTGATTGATCTCTGAACAAAGCCTTAATCTTTTGGATCATATTCATAAACATATCTTACATGCATATAGCTAATAATATTAAATGTTATTGTTGTCTTCTTTGGTTTCAAATAGACCTATTGAAGACATATTGGAAATTCTCATGAAGATTTTGAAATTTTTATTTCATGAGGTTGAGTTAATAAAGGTAAACTTGAATTATCCTAATGGCTGTTCAATTTTTGCCTGGTAGCTTTCAAAATGACTTGCCGCTTTCCAAAGGAGGGAGGAAGCTAACAGATGGTAAACCTGTGAGTTAAAACCTCTGCTTTGGCTCCAGCGTTACCATGCGGGCTTTTGTATCAGCCCTTATAGCCTTATCCCCAAGGTTTAACTCTTCTGGGAATTCTATTATGGTTTTACTAATTGGAAGTTGACCATCTTAGTGTCAAATCATGGTGTCAGCCATTTTTGTTTTTGTTTTTAAGGAAATACTGTGATACCTTAGAGATCACCAGTACTAGTGTATTCATTGGTTAATGCATTCCGAAGAAAGTAATAGAGCCAAGGTGAGAAAACAAGTTCTGGGAAAGGACTATACTAAAGTAACATAATTAGTCATCTTTCAGAGTTACAACAGAGATTATTTTCTTAAAGGCTATTATTCGATATGTCTGTTGAATATGTACTTTCTTTTTGCCACTAAAAAAACTGATAAAAGGATTTCAAATTCCAAATTTCCCATGTGGAGGGGAGAATTATTAGAATAAGAAAAATGTTTAATTTATACATTTATTTTCTTTCATAGATATTCTAGGCCAAGGTTCTAGCTAGAAAGTAAACCTTTGAAATGACATAAAATAGTTCTATGCTAGATCTAAAGGAAATTACCAGTTCTACAAAAAATATGTTGTATACAATTTCCACATTTGATGTCATGGAAAATTGAATCCATCTTGGACCTTGGCCATTTGTTACTGAAAGTACAAGAAACTAGTAGTGTAGATATATTTCATGGAGTCCTAGAATTAATTGAGAGGGCTACAGAGATGATCTAACCTAATTTTTTCAGGTTTTAGATGAGGAAACTGAATCCCAGAGAGGCTGTGACCTGTTTAAGGTAAAAAATTTACAGAACTGGGATTTCATTATAGACTTCTTTAATCTATGCTGTGAATCTTGAAGTCAGTATCAATGTAAAACTAAGCTTCTGGATATCTGCTATACCACTGAGTCACTTTATTTAATATTTATGTTCGAGTTAAGTTTAGGTTTCTCTCCCTTGTTGATGTATAGTCTTTTTTATTTTGCTTTAGTTTTTGTTTGTTTACTTTGCAGATATGCTGGCGAATTTTTGCACTTAAACCCTTTTAGAATAATAAGAAAGAAAGTGTCAATACCCATGCATCTTTGTATCTATTACCTACTCTCTAGAAGCAAGGAAGATGGCATCTAAGTCTATATGTGCAAGTGTGAAGGAAATGTAATTAAACTGTACTTAGGGAATGACGAGTTCTGAGCTACTCGTCGCTCTGGGAACTCTGGCTTATTGATAGACTATTTCCTAAAGCTAAGTATCCAATGTACCCTTTAGCCAAAAATGTCATTAAGATAGTGGACATCATCTGGAAGGATAATGGAAACAAAACAGAAAGCATTTTTCAACCTTTATACAAAATTATAATGCATTGGGATTATATTGGCATTATGAGATGTTGGCACCTGAACATGTACTTCAATTCTGATTACCACGTTTTGAGAAAAATGAACTAGAACTGGAGAAATTAATCTAGACAATAAAATAATCACAGGTGGGTAGGAAAGGGTATTGTTGTCAAGAAATGAGATAGTATTCTTGGAAAATTGAAGCCTAATATGTGTTTTAAATATAAAGCGATCATTAAATGGGTAGATACTTTTTCAAAAATGGGTCTATTTACCAAATTCAGGAAATGCTAAAATGACCAGGCATTTTTTGAAGTTTGCCACATGACTTTAGAAGAGATAAAAGCACTGTCTCCCCCGAGAAGATGGCCAATTTTGAGAACTCAATATCCCAACTATCAGATGAAAATGAAGAATTTTAAAAGGTTTAGATAAACTCATGAATGTTTTGTTCATATGAATTGAGAGAAATAATACATTACTGAGGAGAACTTAACTTTTTGCAGTTCAAGGAAAACTTGTCATATCATGTGGTGACAGAATACTTGACTGAATGGACCAAGATCCTGACTCAGAGTGAAAATTCTTATAAGTAGAAACAATCTTTTTTATATCCCTCTTTTCTTTTCCAATATAAGAGAAAAGGAAACTTCAGTTGTATAAAGGTAGTGGGAAAAATTATACCAGTTTAGTGTTCATGTTGAAAACTATATCAATGCCAACAAGTAAAGGGAATTAAAGCCAGCAAAAGGTGAAGCTCAGAAACTTAGCAGTAATTTTGTACAAAGTCTAGATTAAACAACCATAAAAGTATGAAGATATAAATGCAATGAAGCTGGTAATATTTTAATGATTTATTAACAATAAAATAGTAAAAATAAGGCTTTAGATTCCTTAGAAGTCTAGCATTTAAATTGATCACCAAATTTGCATATCAAAAAAATAAAAAGGATAATGAAAAACAGATGTGTCTATTTTGAAAATGTGTCTGAATCACTCATATCCCTTGACACCTATTCATAGTCCCACATGAAGAACAAAGTATATAGAAAGGAAACTGAATAAAAAGTTGGTTCCAGAACTAAGTAGTTAGAACTTCTGAAGATTTTTTTTTTAAATAGAGTTTTCACTTTAAGTTGCACTTTGGAAGTGATGCCTCACATTGTCTTAGAAAAATAAATGCATTTAAAGAGATGTCAGACTGGGATATAGTCAATGCGTGTTGTGTGATGTGGGGAGTGGATTAGGAGATTTGTCAATGTTGGAGAAGGCCCAGGAATAGTACATTGAGGCACCCAGTGCTGGACAAAGTTGTGAATTAGTGTTTGTTTAGATTATTTTGAGAAAAGAGGTATAAAAAAAAAAGAAAGGATGATTGGACCTCTCTTTCCCAACTCTAGCTCTTTCTGTCTCCCAACTCTCTCTTTCCCTCTTCCCTGCCCTCACTCCCTCTCCTACTCAAGGAATTTCCATGCTTTTCTAGGCACTGTGTTCTGAGCAAAGCATTCTGTGTTTTGGACCTGTTTTTCTACCTTCCCCTCTCCTACATACAGTAATGTAACTGTCTACCCTGTTAATGCTGACTGGTTTTAGACCCAACCAAACTAACACCTGAATTTGCCTAAATGATACTTCCTGCCAAAGAGTTCATATTTTCTCTGAAATTTAATAATTTTTCATTTTGAAATAGTTATTTTTAATAGTTAAAACTTTTTTAAAGATAAAACTTGTTTCTTAAATACATTACAGGCATTTAAGCATTCCAGTGTTTTACATCCTAGATTCAAGAAAAAAAAAGATAAAGTAATAGTTTAATAAAATTACCAAGATTGTGTAATACCTTAGTTTTTGGGTAATTTGTTATTGATTTTCATACTTTGTATCTCTTCTCCATTTTTCAAATTCTAGAATCCATACCTTTAGCTTGCTAGACTATGTCTACTATATACAGTTTGTTTTAAGGCAAAAGCTTCAAGTCACATTTGTGTTTTGAAAACAGTGGCCTTGTGAATAAAATCCCAACCTAACTATAGGAAATTTGGATCCCACTACTGCCTTTTTCCACTGAATTGCTGAGAAATCTTACCAAGTAGGCACTTCATACTTACTTATTTGAATTCACTGTGCCCTTGTTAGCATTTGGAATGCTTTAGATTCCCAGATTGCAAGTTGGAAAAAGACCCATTTCTTGCTTAGTTATTACCCTTGTAGGGTGTTAGTTTTAATGTCTAATATTTTGAGATGCTTTAGAAAAGTAAGACTATAAGAAATACATGCTCATTTTATAAAAAGAAAACTAGTCTTTCTCAGTATATATTATACCTATTTCCTTGGGATACTGAAAACTTGTGGCCACTTAAGCAAGGCCGTGTAGTAATTTTCTGCGGTATAAATAGGCTGGCCTAGAGTATGGGTTAAGTTTTTTTCTCCCCTTAGTTAGGATATAATTTCTTCATTAACCCCTTCTACTTAACCAAAAGGCAGTCTTTAACTGCTTTAAAAATAACTACAATGCTCAACTTGTATAGTTACTGAATCATGCTTTTTCCTTTCTGACTAATGTTCTCTGAGCAACATAATCTTACATTTATGTTAGCATTTATTCATTTGAACTAACAGTTGTAGTTATAGTAACATATAATAATACTTAATTGTAATAATTAATAAAAGCTAACATTTACTAAATGCCTACTATATACTAAAGGACTAAGGTCCAGTGAAGAATGTATTTGTAAGATAAGAGTATGAATTTTGATAGTGAAGCAGAGCTGATAATGTAATTGTGAATTCACTCGAACGTTGTATAATTGGCTGTGTTGCATTGTAAGATAATGTAAGATGGTGTATGGCAAATGTTTGGCAGCTCATTGTTGTTGCCTGCTGTATAGGTTACGCTCACCTTCACTTCCTTTTCTTCATGTATTCTTCATGTTGTTGAAACTGCAAGGGAGTTTCCGTCTAGGTCCAGTTGCTGTCACACAAAGATTCGATTATTGAGGCAAAGAGGATTACCAAGGAAGAAAGGAATTTTTTATGTGACGGGTATCCTGTCAGGAGAACAGGAGAAGCTGCCTCAAATCGGTTTCTCCAACTAGTGGAGATCATGGGCTTTTAAAGGAGGGGCCACGTGCCTTGGGGCAGGTCGTGGTGTAACTAACAAGGGGCTTCGTGCATTGGGGCAGGTTGTAGGGGCTGGTGAACCTGGGCATCAGGAAGCCTGCCCAGGGGCCTTCAGAATCTCCGCTCCTTTGTCTTACAGAGAAGACACCATTTCTGGGAAACAACTCAAAAGGTCAAGTAGGTAGTTAAGGGACAGGATTATAAAAATCATATAGAGGTCATTGAGATTTGTTCATGGGGCCTGGTTACATTATTACACCTGCATTTGTATAGCCTTAATTCTTTGGACCAACCTAAATCTTCTTAAATGATTTCATGCTATCGATCATCGTAGGTACAGTGGTATGAGGTCTAAACTATGTGAGAATTCATGTTATTTTAAAAAGAGAAATTACTACTTTTTATATCTCATAACAAAATTTTAATTTCTACCATTGAAAAGTATTAAGTATTTATATGTTTATGGTGCTAAAAAAATGGTTTTTCTAAGAACTTAAAAATCTGAAGTATTCAAAGTGATTACTATTGATGTACTTTTTAAAAAAGGATTCACATGGCTGTTAAACAAATCCTGAATATTGGATAAATAATAATGGTTTAGAAAAATGAAATTTCAATTAAAAAATAAAACTACCTCTCCCCTCCCCAGGAATAAAAGATTTTATATTAGAAACATGATTTAGAATTGAGAATAAGTATTGCTTATGACTTCAATTTATCAGGTGGACATTTAATCAACATTTTTTTTAAAGAGACTCAGATTATGTATATATTCATTGTAGCAAATTCTAATTTCCCACCTCCTCTTCTTTCCCCACCTTCCTTCCCCTCTCCCCACTTTTTCTGTCCCATCCTTTTTTTTTTTTGACAACTTCTTAAAGTGGAAAGCTATACTAAAGGTACTCATTTCTTTTAAGAATAATTTAAATTTTCTTCTTAAGATTAGAGAGCATTTATTCTGTGTGTAAGGAGCATTTGTTATGCCCAGTGGAAGTGAGAGGGTTGTGGGACTACTCAGAACAAATTATACCACAGTTACCCTCTTTAGTTTAATTGTTGACCAGGACTTGTTCACATAGACAAAATTTCTGTATGTGATTTTTACTTTATGTACAAAATATTATAGTAAATAATGTATATTTTTGTATGGATCGACTTTATTTTGAAAAAAGGAAACATGGTTACATTTATTGAACAGCTTTTCAAATATTTACACTGGCTTTCCCTAAAATTTTATACGCATTTCAAAATCAATGCTGTGTTTTAAATATATTTTAATGATACTGTTTTGTGTTTACTGAGTGATATTGACCCACCAGGGAACTGAAATTAGTGCTTTAATTTTAAGCTTTACTTCTTAAGGGAAAATATGGATGACTGTTAACTATTGTGATCCCCATGATATTAAAAAAAAAAAAGGCTTGTAAAATTCTGCAATGTATTGATATGCAGTAAACTTCCTATCACACATTTTCTATCTTAAACTATATTGAAACCATTTCCATTGGATGTGTTTCATAGGAACTTTCATTACATTAGTTGTTTCCACTTATTAGAGATCTAATAAAATTGAGGATAATTATTATATTTCTAATGAAGTTTATAAAAATATTGTACACATAAGAAATTATTGAGCAATCTATCATTTATGACCATGAATATACAATTTCTAATGACTTAACTTTTAGTTTAATCTTTAAATTTTTTGTAGGGACCCACTATTTGTTTATGATAGTTCTATCAAATCTATCTAGTTATAGACTCTTAAATGCCCTAGAAAAACCTAAAACATACCTAGTGGAATGTCTGTAAGGTTTCTCTGTGAATACAGCCAGGGAGAGAGAATATTTGCCATGGACTCAGAGAAATAAATTTTAGCATTTGATTTTGGGGAAAAATTATTTTATATTTTACTTGGAAGGAATAAGGATATACCGGGCAAGAGTCAGTATGCATTGAAATTCTTGAAGAGTTAATCTACTATAAATATAAAGAAGCTTGTGTGATCTATTTGAAGTTCCCAGGCTCTCCATCTTGTCGCTATAGAATGTAGATTAAAATGTATCACCTTTTAGAGTTACAGAATATTACTGATTTTGGAAGAATAATATATTAAGATACAGGAGTACAGAACTTTTTTTTTTTTTTTTTTGCTCTTGAGGTTTACAGGAGTAGTAAAGGGACTATGGAATGGATATGAAACAAGGCTATTAGATTCGGATTTAAGCAATTTTGGTAATTAAAAGTACATTGAACCTAATGACGTCTGGCACTTGGTTTTTCTAAAATTGATTACCCACTGCTTTTTTTTTTCTCCCCCATTTCCCACAGGAGCACAGTTTCCTCCAATTCCAGCACAGGACCTTCCTTTTGTTCTAAAGGCTGGCTACCTTGAAAAACGCAGAAAAGGTAAGCTGTAAGATTCTAATGAAAAATCTAAGAATGTTTTCAGCCTTAGATAGCACATGTTTGCAGTACACATGTGAAGGCAGTATTCTCTTTAGGTGATTGAAGCGTTTTAAGACTGTAAAAAAATCTGGATGACATTATCCAAACTATAAAATATAACTGTTAGCATTAAATAATTTTTAATAAGAAAACGCTAAGTCGTGTTGTCAACCTTGGTTATTTGTAAATGATTCGGGAGCTGCTTCCTGCCTCTTACAGGAAAGCTGCAGGCCATGACTGTATTCTCAAGGATGGGATTTCTCACCGTTATCTCACCTGGCTGAGCAGCAGGTTATCCTGCACTCGACCTGGCGTACACCAGGTCTGCTGTGGTTCAGATCAAGCCTGGCACCTTGTTTGCCATTTTCTATTATTCATTTCAGTGTTCCTCTCCATTGGGTATGGTAATTGGGAGTTGACCATATGCTCTCACTCTTTCAATAGCGATATTTAATGGAAATGAAATATGGAGGTGGTGTTATGATATGAGAAATGAAAAGCAGAAAGTCTTTTCATTGCCATTCTACTTATCTCTCAGGTAGTCCCTTTGGGCCCTTCTGTTGACATTCCATTTGCTTTTCTTAGCTGAATTTTAAAGCTAAAAGAGATAACAGAAATAATCTAAGTCAACTCCTCCTCCTTCCTTTTATAACAGATGAGAAAATTATGAATCCACCCAGATGAATCAATTATCTTAAGACCACATAGTGATGCCTTTTTGGCTGCCCTGTTAGGGAAGTTGGTTAGCCGTGCAGTTGATTCCTTAAGGATGGCAGCTCCATCTCTGCCTCACTTTATTCCTTTTCTCTTGTGAGTTTGCTGTTGTTTGTTTTTTGTCTCTTGGAAAAGAAGATACAAATTAATTAGTCATAGAATGTTAGAGCTCAAAAGAACCTTTGAAATCATATTAACTTTTTCTTTTACAATAAAGAAATGGCCTTACATTAATAAATGTAATGTATATTATCTAAACTGATCTTTTTCCTCTTTATTGTAGATCACAGCTTTCTGGGATTTGAATGGCAGAAACGGTGGTGTGCTCTCAGTAAAACAGTGTTCTATTATTATGGGAGTGATAAAGGTAGTGTTGGTGTTCAATTATATCAACTTCTATCGCGTGAGGGTTTTTTGGCCATTTTGCCCCTCCCCCTCCTTTGGAAAGAGAATAAACTGAAGACAAATGGAGAAAGAATAACTGAAAATTTTAACAGTTATAGTCTAAGACTAATTTATAATCCTATTTTATTATTTGACAAATGCTCTGAATTCCAGAAAGCCCTCAAAGTTAATACAATTATGTTTTATTGAATTAGGAAAGAGAGAATAAGTTTCATTTGTGTGGCCTTTCACCTTAGGAAATATTTATTATCAGACTACATTGTAGAACTTCTGGAAAAGTTAAGACCATAGGGTTATAAGAGTTTTGAAAGCAGAAAAAGATATTATTTTTCTTAAATATTTTAAAAGACAAATTTAGATAAAATTAGCACCATTTATTTTACTGTTAGGAAATCTGAGAACAGAGAGGTTAAATAACTTATTCAAGTTCACAGAGCTGGTAAATGGTAGATTTGGAATTTTTTTTTTTCCATTATGTTGCCCAGGCTGGAGTACAGTGGCTGTTCACAGGCACAAGCATAGTGCACTGTAGCCTCGAACTCCTGGCCTCAAGCAATCCTCCTACCTCAGCCTCCTGAGTAGCTGGGACTATAGGTGCATGCTATCACACACAACTCAGATTTGGGACTTTAACCTAGGCAATATGGTTAGAGTCCATGTTCTTAACCCTACTGTCACCGTGTTAATTTAGAAACAATAAGATACATTTTGTAGCTTCATTTGTTATTTAGTAAATCCCTTAATCATAGTTCAAATAATTTTAAGTTTATTATTTGAACAAATAAAGCTGCAAACCAATGAAATTTAGAGAATGCAAGCTTCCTTAGTTTTGCTTTTTTCTAGAGAAAGCAGGCCAGGAGTTGACTATTATAAAGTAAAGGTCACATAGAAATTGATAACATTCATTTCCAGAAAGAACACGTTTAGAAGAAAAAAGATGTAAAAGTCAAGTATCACTGAATATAAGCTTTCCCATGGAATTATAATATTATTTTTTAGAGACAGGGTTTCGCTCTCTCACCCAAGTAGGCTCAAGGATTCCTCCCGTCTCAGCCTCCTGAGTAGCTAGGACTACAGGTATGTGCCACTACACCTTGCTAAGTTTTTTTATTTTTTGTAGAGACAGGGGTCTCACTGTGTTGCCCCGGCTTGTCTGATACCCTCGGCCTCAAGCTATAACCCTGACTCAGCCTCCCAGAGCGCTGGGATTACAGACATGAGCCACCGTGCCTACCCAGAATGGTTATTTATTAGTGCGGTTTGGAAATTTGTTTGTTTGACATTATTTGCAGTTTTTAGTGTTTTTTTTCCTTATAAAAACATGCAGATAAGATTATTATATTTCCAATAAATTTGACATACTTACATAATGCTAGAAATTGGTCTCACTTTTTGGCTAATGAGATTAACAAATTAAGAATTAATTTAGGAGCTGGGTATGATGGCAGGCATCTGTAGTCCCAGCTACTGAGGAGGCTGAGGCAGGAGGATCACTTGAGCCCAAGAGTTTGAGTCTAGCCTAGGTAATATAGTGAGACCCTGTCTCAAAAAAATTAATTTAGTGGCTCATTTGCATTCCATCAGTAATTTATAATGTGTTCAAATACAATAATGGCATCAATGAAGTGTAAACTATAAACAACTATAAACAAGCAGCCTTCTTTCTTCTGCTAAGGGTAAGTAGGGGAAATAGAAAATTTAGAGTCCAACTTCAATTATGATTATCATAGATCATTACTATTATAACAATACAGTTTTTTACAGTATTGTGAATTTAGATCAAGATCTTACCTTTCCAAAAAAAAAAAAATCCTCTTTTTCATCAGACCAGGGAAGGGAGGATTCAAATCCCTGTGACTTTGGTTTAGTTAGGCTTCCTCATTTCTAATTTCTTCAAGAATCATTATGTACAAATGTCGGTATTTCCTCCATTTCCAGTCCTGACTGGTATATACCAGCTGTTAGGTCTAAGATCAGCAAGAGTTTTCCCAAAACCCAAGGCATGTTAATATTCACTTCAAAGGCTAATATTTATAATTTTTTTTTTTTTTGGTATTAGTTAAATTCCTATTTGATGAGACCTCATGGTAGTAACATTCTTTGTAATTTGCATTTTAACTACTTTGTGATTCATTTAGCTTGCTCTGTCACTTGGGCTTTTTAAAAATTACCATTCTAGCTTTCCTTTCTCATGTTGATATTTGAAGATCTGGCTTATATTTCCTTAAATTTTCCCTATCTGTTACTATGAAGCCTCCTATTTCCAGTGAAATTTCAGATCTGTTTCTAGCGGTTCTTTTCTCTTTTAGTTGTTTTCTTTGGAATTCTCAGCTAATTCCTTTCCTTTTAGGGACTCCAGAAAAAGATCTGTCTTTAGACAGTTTTTAATTGCTTCTTTGACATGACACTGATTTCCTTCCTTTATATCTTTTTCTTCCTAGGAAAATGCGTCAAATAAATTTTTTTTCTTTTGTGAAATTGGATAGCTGATTTGTACCGCCTTTTTTACTATATGTGTGAACCATTTACCTAAACTTTGGAAAGAGCTGTTATTTAGATAAATGAGAACTATAATCCTCCAACTAAGTAGGATTTAGATAAATGGATTATAGAGGCACAGAAGAAGTTGATACCACTTACTAGGTTAAACAGTACTTTGTTACTGTTTGACAGATATATAGTTCACATTTTTTACCTTATTCTGTGTGCCAAAAAACATATTGACCTATCAAGGTAGTAATGGCTTGGAAAGAATAGTTCCTTCCTCTAGGGTAAATAATGCACTTACCTTTGTATCCATAAATATTGTCTGTATTTATTATTAATAGCCATTTAGGGCCCTTAAGTAACAAGTATATATAGTACATATTTTATCACCTTATGAAATCACATCCATCCTTTCATCTCCTTCCTTTTCCTTTGATTGTCGTGAGTGTCATTCGTCAAACTTCTTAGGACCTAGGTATTCAGATGTCCATCAAGGTATTTATTCATTCACTCACTCGGTCTTTTTTTATTTGGTTACCATTTCTTGGACACTTGGTAGATAATAGGCACTGGGGATCCAAAGATCCCTTGAGGTGCTCACAGTTTGGGTTGTATGGGTATCAGTGAGAAGAAGAGAGGATGCTATGGAGTTGGTGGTGGGAGCTGGGCAGGTAAACTTATAATTTCAATGCAGTATAGTAAATAATTTAAATGAAACATCTTTGGATCACAAAGGAGGGAAAGCTAACTACCTAGGGGAGTTAGGGAAGACTTCCTGGTGGAGAGGACACTTCACTGGGCCTTAAAGATGCATAAGAGTTTGTTGGGTGAATGCTACAATTTGAATATATGTATCCCTCCAAAATTCATATGGGAACTTAATTCCCAAGGAGATTATAGTAAGAGGTGGGGCTTTGGGGAAGTAATTAGGCCATGAGGACTTCATCCTCATGAATGGGATAAATCCTCTTATAAAGAAGGCCAGAGTGAGCTCTGGAGCCCCTCTTTTGCATTTCTGCCATGTGAAGACATTGCATTCATCTCCTCTGGAGGACGTGGCAATGAGGTCCCATCTTGAAACAGAGAGCAGCTCTCACCGCAAGTGCCTTGATCTTGGGCTTCGCAGCCACCAGACTGTGAGAAATAGATTTCTGTTGTTTATAAATTACCCAGACTTGGGTGTTATAGCAGCACAAACATAATAAGACAGTGGAGAAGGGTAAATTGGGCTTTCTAGGCAAGGGAACAGCAGAGATTCTGAGTTGTGAAAGGCCATGGATGGGATCAAAGTTGGGATCAAGGCTAGAGTGTGGAGTGAGTGAGGGGAGGGGGCGCATAGGGCTGAAAAAGTGGATGAGATCAGATTGATAAGAACTTTCTGAGAATAAGGGCCTTGCTAAAGATTTTATTTTGCATATGGCCTTTAAGCAGAGAACTACATGACCGGATTTAGTTTTTAGGAAGTAATTGTGATAGTATTGTGGAGGATGGATTGGAATGTACAGAGAATGGGTCAACAGTGCCATTTAGGGGGATGTTGAACTAGTCTAAGCAAGAGAGGTTAACACAGGGCTGCTGAGAGGCAGAGTGAGGATTTAATGCAAATCTCTCTGGCTCCAAAGCTTTGCTTTTTCCACAACTTGGTTCTTATCAACCCCTCCAAGGTGCCCATAAATGATGATCCATTTGGGACCCTGTTCCAAACTCTTGGGTTTTTTGCTTTTCCCCTTTTTCTGTTTATCCTGTATATGATAATTGAATCAACATTATGATATGAACCTTCTCTCTCCCCATTTTTGAAGAAGGGGGATTATTCTTAATACCTGAATATCTCTTTTCAGGGCTTTTGCTCCCCACTCCCATTAAAGAATATCCCCGCACCATCCAGTAAGTGGTAGCTTCAAGTAGCCTTGGTCCTGCCAAGTTATTCTAAATGTGTATCTAAAGTTATTTATTATATCATCTGGTTGTAATTTTTTCATTGAATATTTTTTCAATATGTAATAAAATTCAGTAGAAAATTGGGCCTAATACAGACAATTTCATAAAACAAAACTTTCAGGACTTATCAGAAAAATAAAAAATTTTTATTGAAATTGACCTCCCTACTCTCTTATTTCTCTACAACTTCACTATTGACAGGAAAAAAATAGGACTTATCTGTTCAGTTCAAAAATTGTAAAATGTATTTTTATGTCGAAAAGTCATTATGGTTCTCTTTTAATATTATTTTGAATATTGTTAACATGACAGAGTATTTACATTTGTATAATTAGAAGTTCTGTTGTTTTGTAACAACAACTTGATAACAGCCAGAAAAATTTACCTTTTTCTCCTGATTCCTTTAATAGAAGCAAATTCCTGGGTTAAGCATCAACATTTTATAATTATGTCATGATTACATATGTAAAATGTATAAATGAATTATATCTTTGAAATTTATATGCAATTCTGCTTCCATCTGGTATGTGAAGA